TTAAAGCTTTTAAAAAGTAAGATTTTTATTTATTCATTGTTGCAGTTTTACCCCCTCGCCCTCCCTTCTTCCTGCTCCACTTCACTTAAGCTGGAGGAACTGAAGAACAAATTTAAGCCTCAAATTGCAATACTTAAAGATGATATGGACAGAATATTGAATGATCCAGGAAGCATTAAAAGAAGATGAGAAGGAGGATACAGACTTACTGTACCCAAAAGAATTGGCTGACAGAAAGATGTCATGAAACAATCTATGATTAAGAGGAATGGTGATATAAGGATAAATATTGTATAAAACCATTATTGTAGAATGAGTATAAGGATCCAGGAGGATGGGAAAGGCTGGAAGCAGAGGGATGTGGATGTGCAGGGAGAGGGGGAGACTAAGGTATGCACAGTACAGACCACGGTCAACAATTACTTGCTCTGCACCAGAGAGCTGCATAATGACTAAGGATGACAGAAGAAGAATCAATGCCTTTGAGCAGAGGTGCTGGAGAAGAATACTGAACATATCACAGACTTCCGGGAGAACAAATAGGTCTGTCTTGGAGATGGTGAAACCAAGTTTCTCCTTGGAGGCTAGGATTTTGAAGCTCTCTCTCACATACCTGTGACGTGTGGCCAGGAGGGACCATTCCTTGGAGAAGAACATAATGCTTGGAAGAGTGAAGGGATAGTGCAGTAGAGGAAGACCCCAGATGAGATGGATTGAGATGATAACAGGGTCAGTGGAATTAGGTGTGTTGGAGTCTGTGAGACTGGCTCAGGACAGGGCAGGGTTCATAGCTGTTGTAGACAGGATCACTATGAGTCACAGGCAACTCAACAGCATGTAACAACAACAATCAGCAGGCAGAAGATCAGGAGACATATTGCACGGGAAGAATCTGCAGTCAGGCCTACAAATTACTGTGGAGCAATGATGTCAGTTTGAACACTACAATGCTCCTGATTTAGACCACGATATTTCTATCACTTGCTATGCTTCTGAGAGCTGGACAGTGAATAATATGACTGAAGAATACTTGATGCCTTTGAACTGTGGTGTTGGAGAACAGTGCTGAATATCACATGAACTGTCAGAAGAACAAACACATATGTCTTAGAGAAGATGTAGCCAGAATGCTTCTTGGAGGCAAAGATGATGAAGCTTCATTTGATACAGTTTGGATATGTTGTTGTCTCCCTCATATAAAGTGAAAAGCCTAACACTGAACCAACCGCCACTGCCCTCTACTCCAGAACAGGAGGTACTAAGTTGCCCAGAAGTAGATGGGCTGTGGGAGCAGACAAGTGAGGCCCCTGTACTAGACTTGGGTTATTGCTGAAGATTTCACAAAGGAAATAATTTATTAACTGAGTGACCTGAAGGATAGCCGAGAGAGAGGGCATTTGAGGCCTTGTTTATAGAGATGTCTAGCCAGGAGGCAATAGAATGACTCAATGGAGAAGCAATGTGCTGACGAGGAATAATTTAAAGATGTGACCATATGGATATGGTAAGTCATGATGAGGAGTTTAAACTCCACCCAATAATGAAGAATATACAGGGCTTGACCTTGAGCAGCTCCTAGTTAGGTAGGAGAAATAGACATAAAACAGAGACGTGAATAAACTGTGACAATGGGCAGGAATGAGAGGAATCCTGCCTAACAGAGAAAGACTTAATGGAAACAAACAAGCTCAAAGTCCAGATCAGCATAAACAAAACTTACAAGGCAATGCCTCTTCCAGAGCATACTCTCTTGGCTTTACTCTGAGTTGCTTTTGGTATAATCTTTCAGTCACCATGTCAGAAATCTTCTACCACACACCTCACATTAAAAAAAAAAGAGTATTCATTGCCTTAACAGTCACATGTGCCTATCTCCAGTTTTGCCCGTATCAAACACACACTGCAGCTGCCAGAATGATCCTTCCAACCTCTAGATCTAGCCGTTTCTCTGCCTGCGGCATTTCCACAGCATCCTGCTATACCTGCATTTCTACTCAACCACATGACTACCCTGAGCTAAGAACGAAAAGAATGTATGCAAAATACCTTTAGCTCCTTTGGAGGATTGTAAGAATTTTTGTTGTGTTAGGTGTCATCAAGTTGAGTGTGATTCATGAACAACAAACCTGAACCCTGTCTTATCGTGTGCTGCCTTCATCTCTGACACACTCGAGCCCAGTCACTTGCTGAAGTTAGGGTGTCAATTTCATTGAGGGTCTTTCTGTCTTTCACTGACTCTCCATCTTTCCAAGCATATTGTCCCTTTCTTAAGAATAGCCTCTTCTAGCAACAGGTCCATAGTATATTAGACAAAGCTTCACCATCCTTGCCTTTAAGGAGCACTCTGGCTTCATTTTTTCCAAAACATATCTGTTCCTTCTTTTGCCAGCCCATGGGATATTCAGTCCTCCGACACCACAACTCAAAGATTGATCAATTCTTCTGTCATCCTTATTCATTGTCCAGCTCTTAGGTGCATATCAAGTGACTGAAAAGACCATGGCCTGAACCAGGCACACCTTGGTCTTCAAATTGACATCATTGGTCCTCAGTAATATGGAAAGGTCTCTGACAGTGGACTTGGCAAAAGTAAGTCCTGATTTTATGTCTTCTGATATCCTGACTGCTGGTCTCAAGAATGTTAATTGTTGTTCCAAATAAGATGAAATAATTGACAGTTTCAATCCTTTCTCCATCTATCATGTTGTTGCCTATTGATCCAGTGGTGAGGACATTTGTTTTCCTGATGTTGAAATGTAATCCATGTTAAGAGTAAAATTTTTAAAAATCTGGTTTTTATAAAGTTAGCCAACTCACTTAGCTCACAAAACATACTCTTTTCTTGGGTAACCTGAATTAAGGAAGGAAGGTGTGCCCCCAAGTTTTCTCAGTTTTAAGGGTTACAATTTATATCTCTTAACTTCTTTCCCCAGTGGGAGCACCATTCAAATGCAAAAAAAATAATAATAAATTAGAACAAAGGAAATTTATTATTCAGCAGTTAACTCCGTTGTGTACACTGCCTTCCTGAGCTGATAACAGGTAAGATTTTAGCACCCAGTCCTTCTTTGTTCTCCTGCAAGGTATTTATTTTCTAGTTTTCAGTTTTCAGGGTCAAATTTATTGAAGAATAATCTATCTAAAAGAAAATATATTCTTTAAAAAGTGTACAGTCGGGGGCTGTGGTCCCCTCCGGGCAGGGGGTCTGAATGACGGCAGGTGTCTTCCCTGCAGTCTGTCCGGTACCGCCTCTGGGCGAAACCAGGCCTGTTGGATAGCAGGTTGACTCAGCTTTTCCTCTTGGGCTGATCAAGTTCGGACACGTTCCGAGTCTGCAGTCAGCGGAGCTAAGCCCGGACTTGTCTCCAGCTGGGGCTATTTAAAACCCATGCCCTCTCCCAGTTCTAGTTATTTCGTGGCCACAGTCCCGTTCGCGCTTGCACTGATCCAGGCAAATGTGCAATACTGGAATGTCTGTACCCGCTGCCGATGATGCTGTTCCAAGTACCTCCCAGATTCCTGCTTCAGAACAAGAGACCCTGGTTAGACCAAAACCATGGCTTTTGAAGTTGTTAAAATCTGTTGGTGCACAAAAAGACACCTACACTATGAAAGAGGTTCTATTTTATCTAGGCCAATATATTATGTCTAAGCGATTATATGATGAAAAACAACAACATATGGTATATTGTTCAAATGATCTTCTAGGGGATCTGTTTAGTGAGTCAAGCTTCTCTGTAAAAGACCACAGGAAAATCTATACAATGATCTACAGAAATTTGATAGTAGTCAATCAGCAGGAACCATTGGCACATGTGAGTGAAAATAGGTGTCATCTTGAAGACAGGAGTGATCAAAAGGACTCTGTGCAAGAGTTACAGGAAGAGAAACCATCATCTTCCAATTTGATTTCTAGACCAACTACCTCATCTAGGAGGAGAGCAAGAAGTGAGACAGAACTAAATTCAAATGAACTGTCCAGTGAAGTACAAAGAAAA